GTTTCTTCTTGAACTATACACTTCCTCAACACCTTTACACAAGAGCTGGGACGGGGAGAGTATAATAACTTTCCCAGCATTCTTTTCTTGTATTTTTGTCTTTCCTCTAGCATCTTGCTCCCTCTTTTTCTTTCTTTTTATTTTTTTTAACTGTGGTAAGAGCGCTTCATATGAGATCTACTATCTTAAAGTTTTCCCTTTCCCTTTTTATTCGAGCTTTCTTAAGAGAAAATAAGTCCTCTCACTATCTTTACTCCCTTACTGCCAATATGTTTATTAGTCTACTCTAAACTTGGTTCCATCCTTACTAGTTCTTTTGTTCCCAGTCCTTGATGACTTCCAAAATGCCAAATACAATGACACTTTACAATTCGCATCCTTACTTAACCTTCCGTCAGCATTTGACACGATCTAGAACTCTTTTTCCTTAGACTGTGTTCTCCTGGTTCTCCTCCTACGTAATGACCACTCTTCTTTAGCTTCCTTCACTGGATTCTTTTTTTTTTTTTTTTTTTTTCCTTTTTGGCGCATTCTTTAAATGTAACATACTCTGGGACTCCAGCCTTAATCCTTGTCTGCCTCAATGTTTTCTTGTTTAATGGGCTTGTCCTCTCCTGCAATTTTAATTATCCCCAACAATCCATATATCCCACCCTTATCTCTCTTCTAAGATAAGAGCTGTATATCCAAATTGTTGACTGGATCCTTCCATGTGGATGAACTTTCCAAAGACACCAGACTCAGCAAATATCTTCTCCTTTCTCCTTTCTCGATTCCTCCTTTCTTTCACTGATACTGTATTCAGTTGGTGGCAGCACCATTTAACAGCTGTAATAGTATAAATAACAGCAAAGACACTTTTGAAAATACTTGATACAAACTTGACCACTGAAAGAAGTAATATTTGCATTTATTTTGACATCTGTAGTCAATCACAAATTGCATTTGAGACTAATTCATACAATTAGCTCTAAAAAAAGTACGACTAGAGAATTTGATAATTAGGAGTTCATTGGTGACTGTCAAGAATGCAATTATAGTAAATTGCAAATTGCAACCTGATTGTGATTGGTTTAGAAGTGAAGAGAAAGGAAGGAACTGTAGCCAGGAAGCTCAGACCACTCTTTCAAGTTTGACAGTGAAGAGATAAAACAGATTCAACGAATGCCTTTAGGGGAAATAGGTGTGAGGAAGTCATCTTTTAGGATAGGGAAAACTGAGCGATTTTGCAGGCTGTGGGAATGAAGGTGATGGAGAAGAAGGGATTGAAGATAGGGAAGATGGGAAGATAGGAACTGATTACTGACGACCAGGAAGAAGAGAATAGGAAGGTCTCTGTTTCTTTCGTCTATATATTCTTGTATAACATTTGCTTTAATAAATTTAGGTCTACTATTCGTCATTCATTGCAGTATTGAATAAATAATAATAAAATCTTTTTTGAAATATGTATATATAATCTTTAACCTTTAGATTTATTTTGACATCTGTAGTTAGGCAAAAATTGCAATTCAGGCTAATTTGTACAATTAACTAAATCATGTATTCCTTTTTCCTTTCAAAATTTACTTTGTATTCCATTCCTAATGAGAATGAAGAATCCTTTTAATTCAACCCAGACACAATTCGGCTAGTATCTTTCAATTAATACTCTTACTTTTCAATAAAATCTTATTCTAAAATTGAACATAGGGTGCTTCATTTTTCAGGTCTCTATCCCATAAGATTATGTTCTTGTTTTGTTGCTATTTACTTGCAAAATTGTTCTATATAATATATTCCATGTCTGTGGCCATATATTGTTTTCCTATATAGTTTCCAAATTTTATGGTTTACTTAATTCAAGTGAATAAATCTACATTTCTATTCTACTTTTTCAGAGGAAAGAATGAAGGGGTGGAAGCAGGAAGTATATAGGATTAAGGAGGCATGGTGAAATGTCTGCAGAGAGAAAAAGTTAGCTGTTGGGCTCAATGTTCTTAAGAAAACTACATACCTGATTCAATGGTATTAAAAAAAATTATCAGCACTAACAAAGAACTAGATAGTTCTTCCAGGTACTCAGAAAAGATTTAGGTTGGTGTGGGGTTTCAGAGGTTGGACACTTATCTTGAGCTGAAAGCTTCTTGTAGGGAATGAGGCATTGTCAGTAAATGATGACTATTTCTCTTTCCTCACTTTTCCCACCTCAAAGTCCTCACCATTTTTTCTCCACTGCACTGATGCTCCCTCCTCAGTTGCACTTCCATCAGCTGTGCACAAAATCAGCTATAAGGAGGCAACATGCTAAAGCTGAGGTGGAAAGGGGCCTGCCCTTACTGCCTCAGTTGAAATCTTCAGCTCCAGTGTCTGCCAAGGGAGGTGGGAGGAGCACAGGAAGTGATTGCCCTGTGGCTTCTCCTCCCACAGAAGCCCTGCCTCCTCATGCTTGGACAGTGCAGAGGTTAGCTTTCTTTCTCCCTCTAGTTCAGTCCCTCGGCTAATGTGAAAGACCACGCAGAAACTATGGAGTTGCTTTTTGTGCTTGACAAAAGTGCATAGATAGAAGACAGGGATTCCTGGCTGGGAGGAGGGAGGAGAGCTGAAGATCTCTGCCTGGGCTGGCTGATCTAAGCAGTCAAAGTGGGAGCTGAGTGCTCGAAAGAGGATTATGCTCGCACTAGAGATAAGCAGTAAGTGAGCGAATAACCATTATGGCTTAGAAAAGGCTTAAACCCCCTGGGGTTATGGGGTGAACTAGAAAATATTGCTTAACTCTAGAGTAAAACTGTAAGAATTCTGACTCTGCGTGTAGCTGTGTGCTATTTGGAGACTAGGGGTTTAAGTACAGAATCAGAGCTCTAAATTCTTCCTCCCACTTTTGGAAAATGCCAACTTTTACTTACAGTAGTTGGGGATACAATTTTCTTCCCTGACTTAGCCTCTTCCCAGGAAAATGTACTACTAAATCAGATAAGGAGTTGGGATTAAATTGGAGAAGTGGAATTCGGTATTGGCAGAAATTGCAGTCTTGAATTATGTTCTGTGAATGCTGACATTTTTATATCAATTATAAGTGATTTGCTAATCACAAGAAAGTCTAGGGTGGGGCATTAAAAAGGGAAAACTAAGAGATTTTATGACAAAGAGGCTGAGTAGTCTGTATGTGTGGGATGAAATATAAAAATGTGTATAATTAATAATATATGTTTGGGTTTTTTTAAGCATTAAAGTAGAACAGCACTCAGGGAAACATAGAAGTGCTTGGATAAAAATTAGTCAGAAAAGAAGAAATTTTCATTTCAAAGACTTTTTGTGCTGGCCAACATTTTCACAATGTTTACAAAGTCAAGACAATGATTCAGGGATACTTCAGTCATTGTCATACATTATAAATACTGTTGCTGGGCAAGATCTGTGGTTCTCTGGTCAGCAAGTTCTGGCAATGAAGCCACGGCCACTGGTGCAAAGAATTCTGGGATGTCGGACAGTGAAATGAATGGAATAACCCACATTCCATCTCTACTTAATGTCCTTTTGTCCAGAAATCGGGTCATGCAAATGAGCTACTTGGTACGTATACAGATCAATATTCGGAAAGACAGTTCTAAATGTTTCGTATTAGAGGATCTCTGGACAATACTGTATGGCAACCAGTGGACTAAAAGGATGCAAAAGCAAAGTGATAGGAAGGAAATCAGCTTGATCGAAACCAACCTTGCTCTTTTTGTTTTCCATTAATCCTGAAATGGAACCTCAGATGAAGATGAGAATAACAATAGAGAGAAATACTTTGGCCATCTGTTCTGTTCTAAGTGGCTAAATTCATTAATATATGAATGAGAATTCAGATTTTATTTTTGCATCCTAACACTTGAAGATTCAGAAATCTCTTTATTACAGAAAAAAATGCACAAAAATAGTAGGTATGTTTGTTAGGGAGGAAATGGTGAAATCTGGTTTTGAAATATTACAGAGGGAAAAACAGACAAGGATCATGTCCCACAGTATAAAACAGATTTATGTCATGTTTGCTGAAAGATATAGTTTTTCCCCCAATGAGATAGGGATCCTAATATGGGACAGTAGGTACAAACATAAGACATATTTTTAATTCCCTTAATTCTAGTTGATGTATCTAATACCTAAAGGAAGGATTATTTTTCAATAATAACCTTGAACTAAAGCTATATAGTAATTTTTTTCTTTTCTTTTTCTTACTGGTCCTCTACAGAGGTACTTAGACTTCTGAAATTATGAAGAAACATGTCATTTCTGGTATTCCCATCAGTGCACTGGGAGAATGAAAAAAAAAAAAGGATTCAAATTATCTTTCTCTTATAGCACAACAATAAATAGTTTTCTAACATTGGAATGGGGGAGGTAGATGGAGAGTGGTCATTGGGGGGAAAAAAATGACAAAATGCCAGTAAAGTCATTTTTAAAGATGGCCTGTATTCCTCCATCTTTTCAAACTACCTAATTTTGAAAATTATTTTATCTTTTAAAAATTATTTCTGAGTTGTTTTTCCTGTTTTCATTTTCATCTGATTTATAAGCAAATGTAGAAAAATCTGAAGATTTATTGAGCTATATAATACTTGTCTTATTCTAAAATATATATATAAGAAATTAAAATAAAACATTTAATAGTTGAAGTCTTAACCATAGTTTTACTAATGCAGTTTCAATCTTTATGAAAAATGAGCTGAGACTCTTGAAGTGTTAAAGAATCTTTCCTGAAACTACAGTTGAAAAAAAAGCATAACAATAGTCATAGAGGACTAAAGGTGTAATTTGGATGAGAGAGCCTAGGCAAAAAATACTTAATGAATAATTACAAGCCAGCAGCTTAACTATAAGAGCATTTGCAGTTGTCCATGAGAGACTAACATAAAGAATGCTGTATTATGACCAGTGAACAAGGCTAAGTAGACTTTATCTTTAAAAGGTATTAAGTGGGAATTAAGATTATTAATGGAAAGAAACTAAATGATCATTTAAAATTATTCTTTCACAAGAAAAGTAAAGAAAAAGGATATGGAAAACTAAGCAGTGATGAAGACCTCGAAATAATTGTTGATCAAAAGCAGGTAAGTGAATGCTTGCATACATTTTCTACTATTGCACTATAGATTTTTGACAACTGAAGCCCTTTGAGCACTCAGCCCTGCCCTGGAGACTGTAATAGCCTGTGTAAGGGAGGCCTGCATAACAAAGATAGATTTTGAGAGCAACTAAGCCTCCCCCTGCATTGCCTCTGATCCACTGATTTCTGCATGTCAGCATGTATGTTCTGTATGTAAGAATGATGAAAAACAAAGCAAAACGAGATAAGAGACCTTTTGGAAAATTAAAAGTCCCACTTGAAAAAATGAATCAAAACAACGATGATGATTTGTTTAGGAAAAAAAAAAAGATTCAAACAAGAACTAGAAAGTATATTATTTTGAAAATGAGAAAAGCTACCATTAGTATAAAATAATGAATATGATTTAGGGAGAGGGGGATAAAAGACTTTAAAAACCTGAGAAACTTAAAATATATATATGTATATATATATTGCCCAATTTAGTTTCTCAGATAGTCTTCAGTAAATTCAGAGATAATTTTTAAAAAACAAAAAGAAGCTATTTCATATTCTGTAATACCAACTGTAATTTGAGAAACATCTATCTTGGGTTTTATATGGGCCCATAAGGTGAAATGAAAACTGCTTAATAGACCATAAACGATGACATACCAGGTAATGGAAGGTATCCAGCTCATGCCACTGAATTGGCATCAGCCCTTAACATCTTAGTTAATTATCAGGGAAACGAGCTAACTGCGCGTCCATTTAATGTATAAGTGGCACTGATTCTGAAGGTCATGTAAATGCAGGTAGAGATAAAGAAATAATTTAAAAGTATCTGAGCAGATGAAGAGGTTAAGAAAGAAAGCAGTCAGCAAGTTACAGAAAGGCAAGTTGAACTTGGAAATTTTTCTAATTGTGCGGTTTGTTTTGCATCATAGTGATCGCATTAAAGGAGCAATTGTGTATTCTTTGAGAAAAAAAGGGAAAAATGAACACCAGAAAATAGCAACCAAAAACAATTAACTTAGAGACTTGCTTGTTACACCTGGAATAATTGAGGTAGCTGAAGTGATCTTCTGGGAAAAACTGGCCAAACAAAGCATCTCCAGGGGAGGTGAAGAATGTGCTGATTTTATAGGTTCGCTGGAACTACCTCCAAGTTTTTCCTGCCTTATCTTACCTCTCTGGCTGCCAAGTGAAACGGTGGGGAGATGGGAGAGGTGGGCTGTATTTCTACTTAGTGTCAAATTGTCAGTTTAGTTAATAAGCTAAGTGGGGCTGGAGCCGGAGTGCTTCACTGGGCTATTAGTTCTCATTTTAACAGATGAATTGCCTGGGGCATGTGATCTCCATCTCCCACAGATCCTGCCTGTAGACTGGAATTCTCATCAAAAGACTGGACCTACCTGGTGAATGAACTAGTAAGATACAATTGAGTACATATGAGAACATTCATGCCTACAGATTTTCTATTAAAATAAAAAGTTATTTTTTAATTTCTTTTTTAATCATATAGAAAGTAAATTCTCACTCTTTTTTGTATTTCTTTAGTATCATCCTACCCCAAAGCTGCTTTTCTTTTCCTTTCTTTTTTTTTCCCAAAAGCTTCTTTTTTGTTTTAACTAAATCTTGGGATTCAGAAAACTATAAAATTACACATTGAGATCTTTGGAGTAGAAAGTCCAAGGGAGTCATTGTTCCTTTTATAGTACCTTTCACAAAATTTATGTTGTTGACCCTAAACGCGTTTTAGTAATGATTAAGGAATTAAAAAAAAAAAAAAAAACCCACTAGAGAGTGAGAGAACCAACTTTCCTGCTTCTTGAGAAAATAACTCTTTCCTTACCTGGATCAAATGAGAAAGAATTGTATTTGCCCAGTCATTGTTTGCCTCTGTAGTTACCATATTTCCTCCAAGTGCCATTGTGCCATTTGGCACCAGTTGGCAGTGACCCAGCTTTGCTGAATCATTCATGTCAAAACATGTTTCAAAAGGTGAGTAATTATGAATATGACTTGGCACTGGCGTTTGCTGTTGGCTGTAAGAGTAGTCTTTCGTTTGGGGGGAAGTTTTATCTAGTGTCAATGTTGTGAGTAAATCCTAGGTTGAAACGATGACAGTGTTGATACCTGGAAGTAAAATATTTGGGAAAACACTTGAATTAGTGTTT